TAAATGTAACATTTCTCCTCTACCTTGTTAATCCCGCCATGAGAATCTTGTATCTCGCGAACATGTACCCTCTCTTTATTCTCTTTCCAGGGACCAATTGGTGATTCTTGTGGCACTGTACAAGGTGATCTAATCAGGTCTCAGAGCCGTCGTTTGGCCAGGTGCCTGCTTGCTCAGTCTGTTGTTCCTGTTGCACTCAGTTGAGGCTGCAAGGGAGAGCCTTCCCTGCCTCGTCACAGTGACTACGGGCTCACCATAGCCCGTGCTACTTGGAACTTTTTGTTCCAAGGAGCGAATCTTAAACAACAACAACAACATCGTCACAGTGTTCAAGCTCCACTTTGAACATCTCATTGAACCTATAATTTAACTCTTCACACATTATCTGATAATTTTACGGCACCTCTCAGTTTCCCTTGATAAGCTTCACCGCCTGATCGAGGGCTGTGATTTTCGGCTGGATGTACTTGTTTCGTCACCACGGCTGGTCCTTAACGTTCTCCATGCTCTCTGACTTGTGAGTTTAGCTGGCTTGCGTTGTTGATTGAACCATGAGTTGTGCTGCCTCGGCTCCTTGTCTCTTTGTTTGGGAAGATTTCTCCGTTTTGTTTTCGTAAACAATTATGTTTTATGCATTTAATAATATTGGCACTGGCTTGTTGCCTCTTAGGGAGGTTTTCCTTTGGATTCCAAGTACCCAATAACATTATCGCGGTCTCCCTTGTGATAAGGGATATTCTTGGCGTTCCTAAAATGCTCAACACTCTTGGCTTTCAACTCCTACATGTACTGCAATACTACCACACAGGTGACTGGCACCTACTGGTATGTGAGTCTATCCTCTCTACACATTCCTCAGTCTGGATGAAGAGGAGATGTATACTCTTGAGGGAGCATCACCTCCCCTACTCTACAGTCACCTCTTCATGTGTTACATCCAAAGGTTTACCTCTATGGCCCTAACTAACTGACTGTTGTGTATACAACCAAGTGGCCCAAAAAACTTGTGGACGGTCGGGGATTGAACGCCGTCCTGCATGAAGCAAGACCGTCGCTCTACCCTCCACCCCCCAAGTGGGGATGGGACGGGAGAAAGGAATGGTCCCCAACCACTTGTGGACGGTCGGGGATTGAACGCCGACCTGCATGAAGCGAGACCGTCGCTCTACCGCCTAACCCAAGTGGTCAGGATCACGCTTCAGTTCTTGGACTTGGATACTTTCTTTAGTCTTCCCCTGTAGGTACTACAGCCCTGCTTGTTCCCTGTGGTTAGTAAGATGGTTTCTACTACTTCCTAATCTTGTCCATCTCATTCTCGTGAGACTCTTATGCTTCAGATCTTGGGTCCCGCCTTCTTAAGTGTGGCTGTTGATCTTCCACTATTTTATATGTCTCGCTTCTTGCAGGGTCGACGTTCAATCCCCGATGATCTAAGTATTAGAGTATCGGAGACTGAACGTCGACCTTACAATAAGCGAGTCCATTTTAAGATTGTAACTGGTTGGGCTGTATTCCTTAACTCCCAGTCATATACGTCCTCATATTCCAGCTCCTTGTCCTCATATCCCAGCTCCTTGTCCTCATATCCCAGCTTATTGTCCTCATATCCCAGCTCCTTGTCCTCATATCCCAGCTTATTGTCCTCATATCCCAGCTCCTTATCCTCATATCCCAGCTCCTTGTCCTCATATCCCAGCTCCTTGTCATCATATCCCAGCTCCTTGTCCTCATATCCCAGCTCCTTGTCCTCATATCCCAGCTCCTTGTCCTCATATTCCAGCTCCTTGTCCTCATATCCCACCTCATTGTCCTCATATCCCACCTCATTGTCCTCATATCCCACCTCATTGTCCTCATATCCCAGCTCCTTGTTCTCATATCCCAGCTCCTTGTCCTCATATCCCAACTCTTGTCCTCATATCCCATCTCATTGTCCTCATATCGCAGCTCCTTGTCCTCATATCCCAGCTCCTTGTCCTCATATCCCAACTTCTTGTCCTCATATCCCAGCTCCTTGTCCTCACATCCTCTTAAAGTACAAGAGAGTCTGTCTCAGCGCTTTCTACACATAATTACCTCACCTTACCTTCCCTCACTATTTGGTAGTTTGTCTCGTTTCTTCTCTCTCCCTCCCTCCCTCCCTCCCTCCCTCCCTCCCTCCCTCCCTCTCTCTCCCTCCCTCCCTCCCTCCCTCCCTCCCTCCTCCCTCCCTCCCTCTCTCTCCCTCCTTCCCTCTCCCTCTCTATCTCACACTCTGTTTCCTCCACACTCTGTCTCTCCGTACTCGCGCACATTATTCCGCTCCAGCAAGATGGGATACTTACACTCTCACAGATGCAGGTGGAGCCGGTAGGTGGGGTGGGCGTGGTGTGGGGGTGGGCGTGCTGGAGAGGGACGCGTGGGCGTGCTGTGGGGGGTGGGCGTGCTGGAGAGGGACGCGTGGGCGTGCGGGCGTGCCCCTGAGGAGCTCAGCCACTGAGGTAGGTGGTCGGGGTGTGTGGGTTTTGCTCAATATCCTGGTGAGTAGTGACTCGAGGACCCTTAGTGTGTTAGTAATCGTTCCTCTGTTGTGTTCGCTACTCTTCTCTGCTCTACGCTACTCTCCTCTCCTCTGCTTTTCCCTGCTCTGCTCTCATCTGCTCTACTCTCCTCTGCTGTTGAGTGCACGTCACGTTGATATTAGACGTGCCACGTGTGTGTTCAGAACGTCCCGTTCCTCAAATAACTTTCCATGAAATATAAATATTGTAAATGAAGCGAGAGCCGAAATTGGTCTGTAGTTGCCGAGGTTGACATCTAATTGGTTGTTACGTGTTGCAGCCTTGTTTGGTGGGGTGACCCCCTGGAGGGTGTTGTAGAGAACCCGTATGTGTGTGTGTGTGTGTGTGTGTGTGTGTGTGTGTGTGTGTGTGTGTGTGTGTGTGTGTGTGTGTGTGTGTATTCACCTAGTTGTGTTTGTGGGGGTTGAGCTTTGCTCTTGTGTGTGAGTGTGTGTGTGTGTGTGTGTGGTGTGTGTGTGGTGTGTGTGTGTGTGTGTGTGTGTGTGTGTGTGTGTGTGTGTGTGTGTGTGTGTGTGTGTGTGGTGATGAGGGGGGTGAGGGGGGGGGGGGGGGTGAGGGGGGTGAGGGGGAGGGATGTGTAGAAGCTATGTGTGGCCTTAAGGCTCCATGAGAACTTGTAGTGTATACACAGACCCGCCAGGTCAGTGTGGGGTGTAAGATACAGGGAGGCCTCACGGGTGAGTGAACAGCGCTCGGGATTCGTAGTCCTAAGGTTCCAGGATCGAAACCCGGCGGAGACGGAAACAAACGGGCAGAATTTCTTTCACCCTGATGTAAATAGGTTCCTGGGGGTTAGACAGCTGCTACGGGCTGCTTCTTGAGGGTGTGAAAAAAAGGAGACCTGGTCGAGGACCGGGCCGCCTGGACGCTAAGCCCCGAAATCATCTCAAGATAGCCTCAAGATTATTGGTCTAGTACTCACGTGATGCTCGGCTGTGTCTTGAATGTCATCTCCACTTTAGATAAGTCTGCAGAGAAGAAATCCTAAATTAGTGGTGAGCATTCATTATTATTAGTATTTCCCAACAAATAAACAACAATAATATTATTTAAACTTCATGTATATAAAGCGCTAAGCCAGCATGACTCATGGCTTAGGCCTGGAAGGGATATGAAGGGGTGGAGACACATGGCTGGGATATGAAGACAAGGAGCTGGGATATGAAGACAAGGAGCTGGGATATGAAGACAAGGAGCTGGGATATGAAGACAAGGAGCTGGGATATGAAGACAAGGAGCTGGGATATGAAGACAAGGAGCTGGGATATGAAGACAAGGAGCTGGGATATGAGGACAAGGAGCTGGGATATGAAGACAAGGAGCTGGGATATGAAGACAAGGAGCTGGGATATGAAGACAAGGAGCTGGGATATGAAGACAAGGAGCTGGGATATGAAGACAAGGAGCTGGGACATGAAGACAAGGAGCTGGGATATGCTGGAGGGAGAGAACGGTACCAAAGAACTTTGACTGTTCGGTACAGCGACGACTTCGCTTATTGCAGATCGGCGTTCGATCCCCTAGTTGAATAAGTGGTTAGACACCATTCCTTCCCTCCGTCCTATCACAGCGCCCTGTCCTCCTATCGCCTTCCACACACACACACAAATTAAAATACACATGGTCCAAATGCGCGGTGAATCGCCATAACCGCGAGCACAAAAGGCGCCAGAGAGTGGCGGGTCTGCCAGGCCGCTCGGTATTACTGGGTAATATATTCCGTCCCCAAGTGGGCGGGTCCAGCGGCGGGTGTATGAAGGGCGCGGCTCGCCAGGGCGCCGCTGGGCAAGGTGACCTTCGGCCCGGCCAACGGTGATCAAATTCGGCAAGATTTCAGGCGTTCAGGCAAGGTCGAAGTGGGCGGGAATCCGGACACAGGCGTTCGAAGTGGGCGGGAATCAGGGCACAGGCGGTCGAAGTGGACGTAGATCCGGGCACAGGCGTTCGAAGTGGGCGTGAATCCAGGCACAGGCGTTCGAAGTGGACGTAGATCCGGACACAGGCGTTCGAAGTGGACGTAGATCCGGACACAGGCGTTCGAAGTGGACGTGAATCCAGGCATAGGCGTTCGAATTGGGCATGATATTCAGGTGTGGAGAGAGTGCTGGTGGGTATGATAAGTTCCCCGATCATACACTTAAGATGCGATCTGAGCCCAACACACTGGGACAGGGATGTGCCGGGCATCAGAGATCCGTACAGCGTGATCGCGCAGGTGAAAGTAATCTGGGGTACGAATGGTCCATGTACGGGCGGTTAATTCATCAGCAGTTTGAAATGGGACCCCCATACTTCCCCTCTTATCTGGGTCTAATACCAGCTCCGCGCGGCCCAGGTTGGAGGGTTCCTGATGAACCCAGAGCCCCCAGACACCCCCTTCCCCCACACACACACACTTGAGACCTTGAGTCTCAAGTATATAGTGTCGACCTTGACAACCTTCCGCTCCGACAGTTCTACTGTCACCCCGCCACACCCCGACAAGCTCTGATGGCGGCGCCATATTGCGCATATCCGCTCCCCCAAAAAATTAAAATTTGAATTTTCTTTGGGAGGGAGAGCCCCCTCCCTCGGGGCTCTTCCCCCCCCCTCCCTCGGGGCTCTTCCCCCCCTCCCTCGGGGCTCTTCTCCCCCCCTCCCTCGGGGCTCTTCCCCCCCCCCTCGGGGTTCTTCCCCCCCTCCCTCCCTCGGGGCTCTTCTCCCCCCCTCCCTCGGGGCTCTTCCCCCCCTCCTCCCTCCCCCCCCCTCCCTCGGGGCTCTTCCCCCCCTTCCCTCGGGGCTCTTCCCCCCCCTCCCTCGGGGCTCTTCCCCCCCCCTCCCTCGGGGCTCGTCCCCCCCCTCCCTCGGGGCTCTTCCCCCCCCCTCCCTCGGGGCTCTTCCCCCCCTCCCTCGGGGCTTCTATTAAAAACAAACACGGAAGGCCCCGGGAAGGTTGAAAGCTCTAAGGCGTTTCCTTATATTTCAAATGCGGTAATCTTACATATTTGTATAACATATTAGCCGGGAGACCCCGGCATGTGTCGGGTGAGACAGAGGCCAGCTCTATAGCTCTGTCATACTACACTGCCATACTTCACCATCACCCCTCACCATCCACACTATACTCACCCACTCTCGTCACTTGTCACCATGCATACTACACGCGGCCTTCACCATCACTTCTCACCATCCACACTACTCACCCACTCTCGTCACTTGTCACCATGCATACTACACGCGGCCTTCACCATCACCTCTCACCATCCACACTATACTCACCCACTCTCGTCACTTGTCACCATGCATACTACACGCGGCCTCCTTCCTCACTATCACAACCTTCACTGCAAAAGCACCCTTTTTATTTAACAACTTTAGCCATCTTCACTACAGACTTAAGTCTCTTGGTCGCTGTCACCATCTACACTGCTCACGATTTTCGTCACTGTAGCCGTTTTGACTACACAGTAGCTTCATCGCTATATGTAAAAGGTCGTACAAGCGCAAGATAACAGGTATATATATATATGAAGCAAGCACAAGATAACAGGTATATATATATATATGAAGCAAGCATAAGATAACAGGTATATATATGAAGCAAGCATAAGATAACAGGTATATATAGGAAGCAAGCACAAGATAACAGGTATATATATGAAGCAAGCACAAGATAACAGGTATATATATATGAAGCAAGCACAAGATAACAGGTATATATATATGAAGCAAGCACAAGATAACAGGTATATATATATGAAGCAAGCACAAGATAACAGGTATATATATATGAAGCAAGCACAAGATAACAGGTATATATATGAAGCAAGCACAAGATAACAGGTATATATATATGAAGCAAGCACAAGATAACAGGTATATATATATGAAGCAAGCACAAGATAACAGGTATATATATATATAAAGCAAGCACATTAAACAACATGCACTCTAGTTACAACCACTAAACACCTGACATAACACATATTAAAGACCAAACACACACTGACCCCTCTAGACGTCTCACAGACGGGGTCGGGGGGAGGGGAAGGAAGTGAACACCTGTCAAGAGAGAGAAGTCTTGACAGGTGTTGAAGGAGAGTGTTGTTTGTGATTCACCTCGTGTCGTCGGAGGGGCGGGATGTCGGTCAATGTGTCGGGATGAAAGCCTAGCAACCACGACCATTAGTAAAGGCCATATATAACTAGCTTATATAACAACATATAAGGGTCATATAACTAGCTTATATAACAACATATAAGGGTCATATAACTAGCTTATATAACAACGTATAAGGGCCATATAACTAGCTTATATAACAACATATAAGGGTCATATAACTAGCTTATATAACAACATATAAGGGCCATATAACTAGCTTATATAACAACATATAAGGGTCATATAACTAGCTTATATAAACAACATATAAGGGTCATATAACTAGCTTATATACAACATATAAGGGCCATATAACTAGCTTATATAACAACATATAAGGGTCATATAACTAGCTTATATAACAACATATAAGGGTCATATAACTAGCTTATATAACAACATATAAGGGCCATATAACTAGCTTATATAACAACATATAAGGGCCATATAACTAGCTTATATAACAACATATAAGGGCCATATAACTAGCTTATATAACAACATATAAGGGCCATATAACTAGCTTATATAACAACATATAAGGGTCATATAACTAGCTTATATAACAACATATAAGGGCCATATAACTAGCTTATATAACAACATATAAGGGTCATATAACTAGCTTATATAACAACATATAAGGGCCATATAACTAGCTTATATAACAACATATAAGGGCCATATAACTAGCTTATAAAATAACATATCAGCGTGTTTTAGTCCCCCAGTATATATCAGCAGTCTCCGTGGTGTAGTGGTAAGACACTCGCCTGGCGTTCCGCGAGCGCTATGTCATGGGTTCGTATCCTGGCCGGGGAGGATTTACTGGGCGCAATTCCTTAACTGTAGCCTCTGTTTAACGCAACAGTAAAATGTGTACTTGGATGAAAAAACGATTCTTCGCGGCAGGGGATCGTATTCCAGGGACCATAGGATTAAGGACTTGCCCGAAACGCTACGCGTACTAGTGGCTGTACAAGAATGTAACAACTCTTGTATATATCTCAAAAAAAAATATATATATATACACCGAGGGATGAAGGGGGGGAGGGTGTACCTTTGTTGTATAGTACAATATTAGTTTCATGGGTTGGGTAGGATGGGTTGGATGGGATGGGTTGGAACTATCTTGAGGTTATCTTGAGATGATTTCGGGGCTTTAGTGTCCCCGCGGTCCGGTCCTCGACCAGGCCTCCACCCCCAGGAAGCAGCCCGTGACAGCTGACTAACACCCAGGCACCTATTTTACTACTAGGTAACAGGGGCATAGGGTGAAAGAAACTTTGCTCATTGTTTCTCGCCGGCGCCCGGGATCGAACCCGTGACTGCAGGATCACAAGTCCAGCGTGCTGTCCGCACTGTCTACGGACGACCTCTGTCTATACAGAAAATGGTCATCATCTGATGACTATTAGCGTGCTAATGACTATTTTCGAACTTAAATAAGTTCGAACCCTCATCACGGACCTTGTGGATTTGTTCCTTTGATGCCTCACGCTATTGTGATGTCTGTGTGTAACGAATGACTAAAAGCGGCAGTTTTGATAATGACCGAGTCTTCTAAATGGCCGACCCTGGCCTTTTGTAACAAGCCAATGTCAAAACACAAAATAATGTCACCAAGGTTAATAAATGAAATGTACTTATATACATGACTGACAAGTGATTACGTCTGAAAGTGAGGTGGAGTTGGGTGTTATGCTCAAGGTTGGCAACCAGCCTTTAGAGGGTTACCTAGACCCCTGGCACACGCTGACGGACTTAAAAGTAGACATACTCTACGTTGGTCTTGGAGTATTCAGTAAAGTCTCGGTGTTGACCAGACCACACACTAGAAGGTGAAGGGACGACGACGTTTCGGTCCGTCCTGGACCATTCTCAAGTCAATTGTGAGAATGGTCCAGGACGGACCGAAACGTCGTCGTCCCTTCACCTTCTAGTGTGTGGTCTGGTCAACTATGAATAGTGTTTGCTTCCACAACCTGCTCCTTTAGTTCATTCCATTTCCCCACTACTCTCACGCTAAAAGAAATCTTTCCAACATCTCTATGATCCATCTAAGTTACCTGCTTCCACCCATGTCTCCTTGTTCTGTTGGTATTCCGTGTGAACATTTCGTCTATTTCCACTCTGTCAATCCCCCTGAGTATTTTTGTATGCTGCTATCATATGTCTCCGCTCCCTCCTTTTTTTATGACGTCGTGAAGTTCAGTTCCTTCAGTCTCTCTTCATATCCCATCCCTTTGGAACTCCGGGACTAGCCTCGTAGAAAATTTATGAACCGTTTCTAGTTTCCCAATGTGTTTCTTTGGGTGGAGGCTCCATGATGGGGCTGCATACACTAAGACTGGTCTCACGTAGGCAGTGTAAAGCCTGGTGTGTGTGCGTGTGCATTCACCTAGTTGTTCTTGCGGGGGTTGAGCTCTGCTCTTTCGGCCCGCCTCTCAACTGTCAATCTACTAACAACTGACTAACAAATGTTTTTATTTTTTCCCACACACACACACACACAGGAAGCAGCTCCGTAACAGCTATAAAACTCAGGGGTGAAAGAAACTTTGTCCCATTTGTTTCTGCCTGATCCGGGAATCGAACCCGGGCCATTAGAACTACGACCCCCGAGCGCTGTCCACTCACCCGCGAGGCTCCCTTGTGTGAGAATAACGGAGACAGGGCCCGTGGCAGCCACACCGTGGCGGGAACACCAGCCTCGCCCCCACAAAGGCCTCACAAACTTTCACGTATCTTTCCCTCGCTCAGGACCACGTCACAGCGACCCTAGGACCCATTTTCCTGAGAATAATTGATTCAGGACACGAGACGCCCTCAGGGCAGGATAAGGGAAAAATCCAATTCCCTATATTTCCTACGAAGATCATTCGCGGCAACTTAAGTGTATTCCGAGTTGGGCTTCAAGCTCGAAGTCTTCCTTGCAGAGACTCGAAGCTCGAAGTCTTCCTTGGAGAGACTCGAAGCTCGAAGTCTTCCTTGGAGAGACTCGAAGCTCGAAGTCTTCCTTGGAGAGACTCGAAGCTCGAAGTCTCCTTGGAGAGACTCGAAGCTCGAAGTCTTCCTTGGAGAGATTCGAAGCTCGAAGTCTTCCTTGGAGAGACTCGAAGCTCGAAGTCTTCCTTGGAGAGACTCGAAGCTCGAAGTCTTCCTTGGAGAGACTCGAAGCTCGAAGTCTTCCTTGGAGAGACTCGAAGCTCGAAGTCTTCCTTGGAGAGACTCGAAGCTCGAAGTCTTCCTTGGAGAGACTCGAAGCTTGAAGTCTTCCTTGGAGAGACTCGAAGCTCGAAGTCTTCCTTGGAGAGACTCGAAGCTCGAAGTCTTCCTTGGAGAGACTCGAAGCTCGAAGT